AAAAAAAAAAAACGAAAAAAAATGAGAAACTCTTAAAATAAGCAACAAATATGATTACCAAAAAATGAAAAAAAAAAAATAAAAATTTCATATCTTTTTCTGTTCTTCTCAATTTTCTTTGTTTTCTTGACATTTAAAACCAAAAAAAAAAAGAACGATAATGAGAGCAACAACGGTAATCTTAACAGCAATAACAAAAAAAAAAAATTATTATTAAACAAAAAATTTTTACATTAATCATTCCATTCACTCGTCGTATTCTTTTCTGCAGCAAAAGAAAGTGTTGAATGGAGAATACAAAAAAGCCTTGAAAACTTTGGTCTAACGTTCAGTTAATAACCAAAATTAATGCTTTAATTAAGGACAAAAAGCTCAAAAACTCAGACTGCTTTGCCTTCTGTTGACTACATGAACAGCACCTGAGGTGACCGTTTGCTCAAGAACACGTCCTGTTGACGAGACAAGCGTCACCCTGTGGCAGGTCACGCTTTCGTCTAACTACAACTGGTTCATTGTATCCTACATTGAGCACAGTTGTTCGATAAGAAACTACAGTATTTTCATCTTCTGGTTTTTACTTTGCCACCAGGTTGTAAAAATATCGATAAAAAGTTAAAAAAAGAGAAAAAAAACCGATAGATGTTTGATGACTACGCCAAATAGTCAATCATCAGCGGACAAAACAGCGAATAAGACTGTACAGATCAAGAAGAACGGAACGAAAATGCAGATGTAAATGAGGGTTGGTTAAAGAAGAAAAACTGTCGTAAATCAGACTGAATTCAGAAGAATCATGCTTACAATTGACAAGTTACATATTTTTGAAAAAATAAATGTACCTAAAAAAAATTTTTTTTAATGCAAAAAAACCTATCTAAACACTTGATGCTACTTCACTGTTGTTATACTCTGTTGTTATACTCCCTTTTTGCCCTGTTCTTCAGTGATTACAACAACATATTTTCTTGACATAAAGATAAAATAACGGATACAAAGAAAAAAAAACTTAAAAGTTTTCATTAGAATAATTATTTTGCAAAATTGAAAGATAATTTCAATTATCAACTCGTCTTTGTAAAAACTGATTGGGTACTGCAAAACACTGTAAAATAAACTGTAATCAGTGATATTATAGTGAACGACAAAATCTACTCCACATATAAATTATAAGAGAAAAAATTTTGGAGACGAACGAAATAGACTGTTAATCGTGATAATAGATAAAGAAAAACCCTTCAGTACTGTTTAAGAATTTATAGTCAAAAATAATCTCCTTGAGTACAATGTGTAGACTATTCAGAGAAATTAACCAGCGTTAGCCGCAACTTCACTATCAGTGATGAAATGACACACGACGTCTGTTAAAGTGGTCTGCAGGTGATATTCAAAGCAACCATTATAGATCGTCAATTGTACGTGAACGTGTAATAACGTCACGTTGTGATGTGGATGGTCGACTGTCGGTGGTTTCCGACACCGAATAACGAACAGTTTTCCAAACATTAAATGGTTTCATCTAAAAATCGGTGACCAATTTTTTTTTTCTTAGTATTTAATGGTATTTTTACCAACAATTGTGAAGCATACAATCATTGGTGGTTGAAATAGTGGCTTTGAACATAAAAGTGGGGTTTACGTCTTTTTGTCGTGCTCGTCGTTCTTCACGGATTGCTTCATGAAAACCGGATTTCATCTGCTCCACCACAAAAAGAACTATTTTTGTCCACGCTGTTTGCGTTACCTCTGTTCGGTCCTTTTTTTCACCCCATTCTAGAGTTCGTTCAATCATTGCTGCAGCAAATTGATCCAACTGTGATGTCCGAAATGGGCAGGCATCTAAAAACATTCAGAATTACTAACACTAAACAGTGCTAGATTTAGTGCAAATCATTGTTCTTTAGTTGTAGACAGCTTGATAAATTGTCAAAAACTGTTGTTGCATATATTCTACAACTAACATTTATATAAATCTGTAGTTTTTGATACCTAATAACGAAGAATTTTTGAGACATCAAATTGTTTCATTTCAAAATCGGTGACAAATTTTTTTTTTTTTAACATAGTAAAGTTACATAATTAAACAGTTACACTGATCACGCGGAATTAATGCATGTAGTTTTCCAGCTTTTTTCAGATCCTCTACAACAGCCTCAATTTCTTCAACTTTTCCAGAAATTAGCCGATCCATAATACTTGTAAATTCTACTGCATGCTTCTGAAAATATACTGACGCGGAGATATACAAAAAAAAAAAGTTACACTTGTCAAAATGACATCAGCGTATTATGCAACAGATTAATACAGTTATAAGTTACATAAAAAAAGCCCACTATTTATAGCTAGCTTTCCTCTTTTTTTTTTTTTGCAAAAAGAGCGAAAAAAATTTGATTTTATGAAACATTGTGTTTTATAACTATTTTGGATAATCTTTTATGAAACGTTTAAACCAATAAACTATAAGTGCAACAGCTTTTTGACGAAATTCTACGCGAAGTGACGAGCGAATAAAAACATAAACTTATTTCAAATAATAAAGATTATAGTCTAAAAGTTTAAAATAATTTACAATACTTCCAACAGTTGGTTTCTAAATATTTTGTTCGTCATCGCAAATCAATCGACGACAATGAAAGAGCAACTTTTGCAAAGGTATAAATTTTTTTATTGCAGTTTACCCTGCCACAGCAACTACTGCTGCACATACGCACTAGTTTTAAGAACTAATCATAAAATTTCGCTTAGAACAAAAGTCTTTTGAGATTTCAAGAAACAAGATGAAAATTCCTGCTTAATAAAAAAAATAGTTTCAATATGTACTTTTAATCGCTCGTAACCGGCATTTTTAGAACCAGCCATTATTAGTGCTCGTATATCGGGACTCTTAAAAAAACTGTTCCTAAATATACTCATAGCTGGTTCAATAGATCCTTGATTTCGTGCATGTGCCCAAGTTTTTCTTACAAGAACAGTTTGAGCAACACTCAGCTGCAACGGATATCTGGATATGTAACGGCACGTGGTTGCTGCAATTGACCAAATATATATTATCAAATATTCAGAACAAAAAGCTTTTTTTTTTCAGTTCTACAATGGAAATCTAGAATTACAAAAAAAAAAATCAGAATTGGCATTAAAAAATGCAGCTAAGTAAAGATCTTATAACAACTAGAAATTTGTTAGACGGTATTGTGAAGAGCATCAATAAGATGGTCGATGAGTGGTAACCTTTGCAGTTCACCGCATAAACCACAAATAAAATTAGGTTTGGTTAAAAAAGTTGAATATATTACAGATCTTGAAAAGCAGTAATCAATAAACAAAAATAATTTTTCTTTTCAATTTCTTTGCTTATTTTTTTTGGTTCTTAAAGGAAAGATATTTAATTGTAGTATGATGGTTGACGTAACACTTTCTCTTGTTAACTTCTTACTTCAAAAAAATAAAAAAAATAAATAAATAAATAAAGAATAAATGCTATGTATGTGTTTAGCATTTACTAAAAAATGCTTATTTTTAACAACAAACCATTGGAATAATCTTGAGGAAGGTTAGACAACTTAATTGGCGATGCAGTTATTCGTTGATTGTAGAAGCGATATTTGTTAATTCGAGGTGGATGGGTATGAGATCGGGGATACATTTGGGTTTTAGATGTGACTGCAAAAGTGTGCTCCCACTGAGGAGGTTTGTTAGGCGGAAGAACAAGTTGAAAGAAAAAAGGCCACAAGCTGGCAAAACTGTATCGTGTCGCTAAATAAGTGGTTTGAAAGATGTTCTTAGAAAGAGTTAATACGTAGCAATCCATTTTTCTTATCTTTTTTCAGTAAGTATTGATGTTAAGACAGAATTAAGTTACACTTCGAACAGCAATACTGTTACAGAATTCATAATAGTTTTATCCGCTGAAAATCTCAATTAATTTCAGTTTACAATTAAGTTATAAGTTAACTGTAGTTACACCATTGTTAATTACAGCACCATCAGTATAACTATATTTAGTGATTTTAGTACAGAATTAAAAAGCTTTTCTCTAGGTAAGCAGTAATCTCTTTTTGTCAAGCATCAAGTTTAGCAGTTAAAGTTTGTCGACCAAGTTTACATTGTTAAACTGATAAAATACAGTAAAAAAAAACAAAAATGAACATCTCTGTTTCTTTTTCAAAATATGCTATAAAAGGTAATCAGAAAAGGAAGTAAATGAATGAGTAAACAAATGATTGATTTTTCACTACCTTTGATTAGAATGTCAATAGAATATACAGTCTGATACTTACACTGTTGTTGTTTCTCGTCCGATATAGACTGTGTTGATAGAGATTTCTGTTTTGATAGATTGCCACCGAAATCTGGTGAGAGTAGATCTTTTGGTGGTTCGTCAGACTCATAACTACAAGTACGTTTTGATGATCTAAAAGCTACAGCATTATTTGATTCACCGGTTCAAAAACTTTGAATAAGGGAAACAGAAGTGTAACTTTAAAATTACAAAGCAAATGGCTACCGGATGTTTACTTGTTGAGTTCATTTATAAAAAAACAGCATTAGCAAAGAAAATTAAACTTTCAAACACTCACGACAATTTCATATGACTTCTTTCTGCCGGTGAAGCAACCTCAATTTTAATAGAAACAGGACGTGTTGGATTTTGTTGCTCATCTTTATTTCCGTCATCATTATGTTTATCTTCAAATAAATTCCTTAATCAATGTTTTAAACGTATTAAAAAAATATTCGACAATTACACTACCGCAATAGCAAAAAAAATTTATTTTTTTTGATAACTTTTTTTCAGCAACAGTAACTCCGAAAGCCGTTAAAAAAAAGGTTGGCAAAATTTAGAACCTTCAGTAGTAACTTTTATCTCTTCAATCTTTAGATTTTCCTTCTTCGAGTCATCCTTTGGTGAATCTTCAGCTTCGTTGGTCTGCTTTTCATCTTTTGCTTTTTCTACTTTTTCTTCTTCTTTGATTTTCACTTCAGGTTTATCCGACTTTTCTTCGTTTTCATTTTCTAGCTTTTCAAGCGCTGACGAATATGAACCAGCTGAGTCGTCGCAATCTTTTTGGTGTAATGTACCGTCGTCTTTATCACTGTTGTCTTAACAAATAATTATAAACAGAATTAAAATAAGTGTTGTTTTTCTATAATTGCTTCTTAATTTTTGACTGCATAAGAGCGTTTCAATAGAAAAAAATAAAATTTGTTCAGAAATAATCTCCTATCAAGTGTTGAGAATTGACAATTACTTTTAACATCTGTTAAAACTTCAGCCTTTGCTGAGTGAGATTTTTTCATTGAGCCGTTAACAATACTGTCTCTTGGCGAACTTTCTGGTGAAACAGATTTTTGTCGTCGTTTCACGTTTTGATTACCCATAGTTTAGAGATTCTGTGTAACTCAGAGAAGTTTCGTCAAACTGTATTCTGTCGTCTGAAACGACAACTAAGTTCTTTTAACGACAATAAAAGAACAAACGTTTATTGCTGACGTGGTTCAAGAATCCGATAACACTTAGTAATGTTGGTCGTTTCAAGACGGCTGCTGCTGCGCGCAGAATGTATATATTTGCTTAATAAAATATCAAGCTTTTGAATCGCACTTGTTCCCGGCAACGAAAAGCTATATTGATGTCAATCTGCTTGTGAGTTTTTGCCAACTTGGCATAATTTTCAGAGCACAGTTATTTTTGACTTAACAAATAAAATGAAAATGATTCACGATTATTACTGTTATCATCAGTACTTCTCTTTGGTTTCTCAGATAAAGCGAAACAAAGTAATAGCAAATCAAAAGCACTAATAGTAGCTTGTTGTACAAAAAAAAAAAAGATTATAAGATTTACCAAAGAAGTAAAAGTCAAGAAGAAGAGTAAGAGTTAGTTGAAGATGTCATTCATAATATCAGTATGATTCATAAAGATATCAATAAGATTTGGCGATATTAGTAATGACAGAACAGTTCGTTTAAAAAATATTTTAAAAGGCATTTGCAATATATCTTAAGCAATCAAATTTTTGTTTCTACTAAATTTCATACCATTTAGACGAATAGCACTCA